AGACTTTTTATGCTTCAAAGGATACTATCAAGAAAGTAAAAGGACAACCCAAATAAGGGGAGAAAACATTTGTAAATCATATATCTGACAAAGGACTTGTATCTAGACTATATAAAGAAACTTTACAACTCATAATCCAATTAAAAACGGTTTGTAAAAAAAGCGACAGCAATGCAAGAAGGCAGCCACCACAGGCTCAGGAGTAAAAGTCCTTCGCAATTTCTAACTGTTGCTAGAACTCAAATAAGGCCAGAAAGGAGTAGGAGATGGCACAATTAGCTGGGATTTAGATGGTAACAAGACATGACACTCAAAAGATGAACAGGGATGATAATTGCGCCTCCAAGAACAATTTATGAAAACCAAATATGCAGCCTTAAAATAGAATGTGGACCTAAATACCCAGAAGCACCCTCCTTTGTCAGATTTGTAACAAAAATCAATATGAATGGAGTTAATAGTTCTAATGGAGTGGTGGACCCAAGAGCCATATCAGTGCTAGCAAAATGGCAAAATACATATAGCATTAAAGTTGTCCTGCAAGAGCTTCAGTGCCTTAATTATGTCTAAACAAAATATGAAACTCCCTCAGTCGCCTGAAGGACAGTGTTACAGCAACTAACCAAAAGAAAAACCACAGGCCCTTCCCTTTTTGATTTAAGCAGTCCTCATTTTCCACAGTAGCAAATTTTCTGGATACATCTTGTAGACTTCAAAGTACTTGAAAGGAAGCTCCCTTCAAAGTAAATTTATTTTAACATGCTGTAAATAATTCTATTTTTTGCCCATTTGAAATATATAAGTTGTACTAAATGTAACCACAGCCCACATAATTGAACTTCTAGGATCAATAAGGTATATTTAAATTGATTCCTATTATATCTGGTAGGTCACATCTATTAATAACTCAACTGTGAAAAGACACATTACACAAGCACCTTGCTGTTGATTGCATGGTCTGGGGTCTCTGCCTTCTTCCCTTGCAACAGCCCTCTAACCTGGGGGGCTTGTTAAGAGTACATGTGAAGGTTTCAGGTCGCAGCCTGTGGAACTACTGCTTGGTGTGTGGATTGCTTTGCATGCACCCCTGGTTTCTTTAAGTCTTAAATGATGCCCACTCCAAGCCATCATCCTAATCCCTACTCCTCCACTCCCACCCTTGGCCGAAGTATAGATTGTAACCCCTCTGCTACTCTCTGAGATTGGCCTTTGGTGAGGAATTCAGGGCTTTCCCCCATCTTCTCTCCCCGACCTTTATCAAGGGGTGCTGCTTTTGCTTTTCTTCCTTCCTCAAGTGTCTTTTCAAAACATCACTACCCGACACCTTCCATGACACTTCCTTGCTTTGGCCAGAAGCCCTCAGGTAAGGTTGGAAAGAGTCTCTGACCTCCCTTGTTTAGTTTTAGAATTGCATTTACTCTCTACCATCCTGGGAAATGAATATTGGGTCCTCAGCCCTGCCACCCTCTGCTGTCATCATCAGCTGATGCATTGGTCTTAGCTCAGGTTTTGATAAGGTGAAGAGAATTGTTACCAGGGTTACTCAGACCTGCCAGCTCTCAGAGTCCTTGGTGGTTAAAACTGGAGAATGACCACGTGAAGACACTTGTAAGCACACACAATCTTTCCACATTGTTTTATTTTCCTATAATTGCTCTTGCTTTTAAAAATTGAAGTTTTAAACAGGGCTCTCATTTGGTCATCCTTACAATCCTTTGGGATCTAGTTTGGAATCTGACAACTGGAACAAAAAGAACCTTGGATCCAGTGCATGTCTTGGTTTTGGTGCTGCTCCTGAATCTCAAGATCCTCATCAGGGATTAAGAACTTGGGGTACATAGCAGATCCCCGAAATTGGCAGGCTTGACCTCCTGGCAAATTGCTGTGTTTTTTCAATTGCTCTTCAGGACTACTAAATGCTGAGTGTGAATGCATATCAAAATAAAAGCAATTCATTGTGTACTGACGTTTTCTGTTTTTAATTATTTATGTAAAACCATTTTTTATAGCAATCAAGTCTGAAAAGCAATTGATGTCTCCATTAATCTTTTCCTGGGGAAAATCTCAGTTCTAAGGATTTAACATCCTGTAAGTGACGTTTAACATAACAGTATTCCATAAGCAGCCTTTTATTTTCAGACCATTGCTTAATTTTAATATAATTTTAAAATGTGTGCATTAATTAAAAAATGGGAAAAGGACCTTAATAGTCATTTCTCTGAAGAAGATATATAAATGGCCAATAAGCACATGAAGAGATACTCAACACTCTTAGTCTTCACAAATAATGTAAATCAAAACCACAAGATACCACTTCACACTCACTAAAGTGGCTATAATTTTTTAAAAGACAATAACAAGTACTAATGTTATATTTTTGTTGTAGCTAAGGGCAAGAAAAATTGAAACTCATAAATTGCTGGCAGGTATGTAAAAACGGTATAGTTCCTTTGGAAATCAGTTTGACAGTTTTTGAAAATGTTAAACATAAAGTTAACATATCACACAACTTCACTCCTAAAATACTAAGATAATTAAAAACATGTTCGCACAAAGCTTGTACACAAATGTTTAGAGTAGCATTATTGAAATAGCCAAAAGATAGAAACAACGCAAATGTCCATGAACTGAAGAATGGATAAACAAAAAGTGGTTTATTGATTCATCAGTTGATGAACCATGTTTAATGCCTTTTGGTAGCACAGAATTTAGAGTCACTTTGCTTCACTCTTTTGTTAGTCTCGTTATTTATTTCAAAGGAAACAAAATGTTCCCGTAAAGATGCCTGGATTTTTGGATATAGAAAAAGTTGTGGGACTGAAGAAAATGAGTGGAACAGAGATTTGAGTACATAGAAAATAATCTTTTAAAATATTTAAACCAAATGTTCCAAAATTAGATTATGGTGACTGCATAACCCTGTGAATATAGTAAGACCACTGATTTATTGTTTTTAAATGGATGAACTTTATGGTATGTGAATTATATTTCAACAAAGATGTTAACAAAATTTTTAAATGTTACATTTTGTTTAGTAATAAGACATTTTTCTGAGATGTAAAAACATCATAGTTATCTTAACTCCTCAGATTTTGGTGGCAACCTTTCATATACAGTAAATATCATTAAAAGCAACCCCAAATCAATGATTAGTACTAAAAACAGATCCTCTGTATCAATCACTGTTTATCTGCTGTTGTGAGTGGAGTTCATTTTTAATGCCACATTGACCTCTTTGTGTCCAGTATACTTTAATTTGCTGTTGGCTGCTTCTCAAAATAACCATATCTCTACTGCCCCTCTTTAAAAAGAAGAAATATCACAAAATTATGTCTTCAACATGTTCATTTTATACATCAGAATGAAATGAGGTTACAGATCTCCCATAGATTAGAGCTATTTACCATATCTCCTTACTTATCAGAGTCACAAATCTTAGCAGGAAGCCAGTTACGGAGATTGAAATATGAACTTCTTAGTCTAGCATTTTAATGCTTTTTATGGTGAAATTTATCTAGATTTATCTATAAAGGCTTTTGCAATTTGTGGTATGCTGAGTAAGAACTAAAGAAGAACAAAAGTAAAAGATTTTTTAAATGGCAACTTAAAAGTATCACCACTTGTACTACTTACAAATTTTTCTTCAGAAAAATATTTTGACTTAGAGTCAATTTTTAATCTTGGGACAACTTGCTGTCAGAAATACTTCAAGTGTCTAAAACATCTTCCTTACCAGCCAATATCTCCCATCCCACTCTAACAAATGCAAATTCATTCAAATTTAACCTGAATGTAACATAATTTGGAATCTTTCATTAAAATATATATCACACATTTTAAAGCCAAACATAAATTATTTTAAAATACCTGTTTTTTGGTGATTTAGGGTGCATATGCTTATCAGTATAACACATTTAAAAAATTTTTTTTCTACATACCCACAAAGTGTTCCATTCATTTTTTCACTCCCACAACTTTTTGTCTATCCAAGAATTCAGAAATCTTTATAGAAACATCTTGTTTCCATTGAAATAAATAGCAAGCCTAAGAAAAAGAGTGAAGTGAAATGATTCTAAATTCTATGCCACCAACAGGCATTAAACATGCATGAACTTTTAAAGAGATGCCAAAACTCACTAGAAAGGAGAAAAAGTACAATGAAGGTTTCTGAGTAGCTTTTAATTACTCAATTTAAGAACTTTATCTTGTAAGCAAATTTTAACATTATCCAGAGCATAACACTTATCAAATGTATTTTAACATTATCCAGAGCATAACACTTATGAAATATATTTTAACATTATCCAGAGTATAATATATATGAAAGAAAAAGTTCTTTAACACCCCTCCAGAAATTACAACTGCGAGTTCCTAACCCCTTATCTAAAATCTTTTTGGCTAGATATGTTTCAGAATTCAGAACTTTTCTTAGAATGGTATGTCTGCCATATATTGTGCAACACTTCCAGCAAGCTGTACTGTAATCAAACACAGTATTTCTGTAAAAAACTTATGAATATTTATATCAAGTGAACATTCAGTTACACATAGCCTCAACTCTGTTCAGGTCAAACTTTACTGCTAAAGGATTTAGAAATGACAGACAAACGAATGGGCCCTGACATGACACATTAATTCGAAATCTAAATCTTTATGTTTGATAACTAGTTAGGAGTCAGTGTAAACATTTAGTCTGTCCTTCCACAAAAAAATACAACAGTGTATTTAAAATAAAAATGAAACTCAGTATATCTTATTGTAGAAGGTAAAAGCAAAATGAATTAATGTCTGAAACTAAGTTAATCACATTATGATCTTCTAGAACTTGTCTAGCTCCACTCTGGTTAAAGATTCCATTTCTTGGCACAACAGTAAAAGACATCGGATCAGCCCCAAGCCTTCAGGGTAAGCATCCCTGGGGTACTCAAATACTTTGGGTAGCAATGAAGACCAGTAGAAGGGCAAGAAGACCTGAGATGACTTAGGGAGCTGCAGCATACCTGAGTTGGGCAAACAGCTTCAGAAGATGAAAGAGCCCAAGCAGGAATCTGTGTGATTACTGTTCTTTTGCCAAGACGCGGGGTAGACAATTAGATTCCTTTACAAAGCATTGGTGTGTTTGATGCTGCAAAAGGCGGCTCATTGGAAATGGGGAGGAGCGGGTGGTAAGCCAGAGCTGGGGAGAGAAGTAGGGTGAAAATGGGTCTCAGCCAACTGTTCCTGCATCTATCCCAGAGGGCTGGGTACCTTCGTGGCGGAGCGCGGCCCACCCAGAGCGCCTTCTATATCCTGGGTCAGGCGCCAAGCTCCCCCAGCTTCACGCAGGAATCTGCAGCCTGGCAGAATTAAGACCACTCTTTCTCGACTGGCGAGCCTTTCCCAGGCCAGTAGCCCGGATTAGAGTCGCGACCCAAGACGCGCGCTAAGAGACAGGGTCGGTCCCACTACAGCGCAGGCCCGGACAGCCTCTGGCCTCAGACACGGGGCGGGAACCTTGAGGCTTTCCGTCCAATCCCGTTCCCCGGCAAAGTGCGGGGCGGGACTTCGCGTCCAACCCTGTTCCCCGGTGAATGCGGGGCGGGACCCTCGCAGCTTTCCGTCCAATTCCTGCTCCTTTCAGGCCCAGGGGAAGCGAGCCGGCGCTGCTGTGGGCTGCGACAGCGGCAGAGGCGGCGATGCACGAGCGGTGAGGAAAGGCAGGCCCGCTGAAGCAACACTCCCTCTCTCCCCTAATCCTTCAAATCGGGAGCGGGGGAAAGTTAAGTCTTGCAGAACAGAGTTAAGTTGTGCAGACAGAGTTAAGTCGTGCAGAACCGCAAAGGTGCCTGGATTTGGCGGGGTGTAGTTTATTTAAGCATCTTGCCTGCAGGGGTCTGAGGGGTACCTCCAAGATTGGGCCGCTGAGCTGCTCCGTGGTGGTGCTTGGATTTCTCTCACTTGGTGGCCTTTCGAGTGCAGAGCTGCCTTTGGGTTGGTGGGAGGAGCCTCGAGCTCTCATTGCCCTCTGCTCCTGCTTCCACCCCTTGCCACTCTGTGACAAACCTGTTACCCGGCCACTGAAAAGGTACCCTTTGCCCTTTGAACCCGTCCAATTGGAAGGTTTACTTGTATGAAACCTAATTAATTGTATGGTCATTTACTCCTGCTCTCTAGCAGGTGGACTATTTGCGTGTGTTTGCAGCGATTCACAAAAAGTTTGTTTTGGGGACTCCCAGCTCCTAGATTGCAGTCTACCTTCTTTCACTAGCTTGTTCATTTCTTTTTTCCTCTGAAATGTTTGTTAAGCTTGTTTCTTTCTTCCCACAGTCACCAACTTAATTCAGTTCCCTGTCATCTCAAAACAATTGTTGCAGCAGGCTCCTGGCAGTCTTAAGCAGTTCATCTTCTTGGTGTACTGGTATGTGACAATTCCTTCACTGATTGTTCGTGGTTCTTTTCCACTTTCGTGAGTTCACATCTAATTGCCCCCAGAAAGTCCATTCTAATTAAATCTAGCATCATCATTTTCTTATTGCTATTGGAACTATATTGTTTAATTTGATCTTTATGATTGAAAATTCAAGACAGCTCTTCAAGAAACAATCCAATAATTGATATTTTTAATGTGTACCTGTTGGTGAGTTAAGCACTATAGTAGGTATGAAACTAGTACTCTTGGTTCCAGTTTTCCAGAGTCTATTAAGTGGCACAAAGGTAAACAGAAAAGCTTATCTTCTCTATATGTGTGTACTAGTATTCCTTTGCTGCCTTAACAAATTACCACAAATGCAACTATTAAAAACAACACAAATGTATTATCTCATAGCTTCTGTAGATGTGAAGTTTGGGTGGGCTTAGCTGACTACTTGGCTAAGAATTTTACAAAGCTGAAGTCAAGATGTATGTAAATTTGGGTTCTTTTCTGCAGGCTGTGGGGGAGAATCCATTTCCAGGCTCATTCAGGTTCTTAGCAGAATTCACATTGTTATCTCTATATCCTTACTGTCTGTCAGCCTGAGCCTCTTTCAGTTCTTTATGGCCATCTGCATCTTCAAAGAAACCATGAATCCTTCTCAAGCTTTAAATCAGTCTGACTTGTCTGCTCTCTGCTCTTACGGACTCAAGTGATTAGTTCCACCTGGATAACATCCCTATTTTAAGTCAGTTCTGTGGAGGATATCACAATCACAGGAGTAATGATCTCACCATATTTGCAGGTTCTGGGATTAGCAGAGGTGGAATCTTAGGAGCCATTCACAGAAATTCTGCTTACCACAATATGCTGATTTCAGGCAGGATTATTTTGTTTTTGTAATGTGCTTTTACAGGCATTAAAAAATTCTGACTTTATTGAACTATATGATTAGCCACTCTAAGATAAGGAAATTCACTTAGAGTTAGTTGCCTTAGGGGCACATGGCTAGAAAGTGGCAGAGTCTGTACTTCGATCCAGATCTGCACTTCCATTTGGTCCAAATCCATGTTTATGGGTGGTCAAAATGGTGTGCAGCCAAAGTCAATAGATAGAAGGAAGCTGAAGAACTTTGAGTTGATTACTATTTCTCATTTTTAAATTATCTCTTTATGTTAGTGGTACAGGCTTAAGCTCTTCTGCCTACAAAAGAAAGCCCAAAATACAATGGTATGAATAAAATAGAAGGTTTTTTTCCCCATACATCTAGAGGTAGGAGTCCAGGACTAGTAGGAAGATTCTGACATCCTCCATACACGACTTCCATAAATGGGCCCACAGTACTGTTTAGTTTGACACTACCTAGCACAAGTGAAAAGGAGGGAAAGTTCAGGGAGAACACATGCATTCCTTTTCGGGAGCATGACCTGGAAGTGACACACACAAAGGTCATCACAAGGCCACACTGAGCTCCAAGAGAGGTTAGGAAAGATATAACTGGGTGACTGTATGTACAGCTAAAACTTAGGATTCTGTTAAAGCAGAGAAAAAAGGTATTGGCTGAAAACAGTCTCTGCTGTGTCCATGTTTTTGATAGTGTTCAATTCTTTAACCTCTATGAGTGGATTATTATGTTTAGCATTGCTATCAGTTTTAAAAAGTCACTTTTGAAAGAATAGGAAATTCTAATTCGATATTAACTTTCTTTGATTTCTCAGTTGCTATTTTAATATATAATTACATATTTAATATATTACAATATTTAATGTTATAATTTAATATATGATAATTTAAAAAGCTTTGAGAAATCTCATTTTTATTTGGCATTTTTACACCTTATTAACATTTTGGGTTAGATTTCTTTGACAACCTATGTTAATATGTTCAAGATTGCTTTAGAACACATGAGACCATTCTGTTTAGGCTGCATACCACCTGTATAATTAAATTAAAGCAGCTTGTCATATGATTTATGTATTCTATAATGTTGGACAACACTTCCACACCTCTTTGTAATTTTGCTCTCCAAAGTTTTCTATATCAACACATAATCCTTTTCTACACATCAAATACTCTACCCACTAAGACTTAAAGCAGGTTTTCTCACCTTCTATCATGTTGTTTTATATAGGGGAAAGACTGTTGTCTTAACAGATATGGGTTTGAGTCCTGCATTTGTCTTTAGGTAAGTTACTATATTTCTGGGTTTTGGTATATTCATATGTAAAATGGCAAAGAATGCCACCTTTCAGAGATAACATAAAAATTAGGGAGCTAAAACATGTTTTCTGTAATACAAACCAAAGTATTTGTATTGAACCGAAGAATTTATTGAACACCTAGCAAATGCAAATGCTAGGTGTTCAATAAATGGTAACTAATTATACCAGTCCCACTCACTGATCACTTTTACTTCTAGCACTTTGAGTCTACACACTCTTTTCAAGTTGGTTTTCTCTATCTGACAGGTTTATAGATTTTATAAGAAATGGTACCAAGTCCTAGATATGTTGTGGTCCCTAAATACTGATTTAGTGAATTGTGGATTGTACCTCGGATATATAAGCGTATCTATGAGATTGAAGTTGTGATGGCTGTCTCTCTTTTCTTTAGTTTTCCTGTTGTGATTTTATCATGGAAAATCAATTGGCTAAATCAAATGAAGAACGAACATTTCAGTACCAGGATTCTCTTCCATCACTGCCTGTTCCTTTACTTGAAGAATCATTAAGAAAATACCTTGAATCAGGTATGTTAATAATCTTCTAGTATATATTAATATTGTTAGCAACTTAGAAAACTGTGAAACTGTTACTAGAGTAGTGGTCTTGATCCAGACTCAAAGAGAGAGTTCTTGGATCTCTTATAGGAAGGAATTCAAAGTGAGTTGTACTGTGCAGAGAGAAGAGACAGTTTATTGAAAGCTTCTCCATTATAGAGTAGGGCATCCTCAGAAAGCAAGCAGACTGTCTTTGTTTTAATATTTTCTTACATAGGGGTCTTACCTATGTAAAGACTAAACTAAGCTGTGTCTATGTAACGGTGAGCAGACAGCATGACAAAATTTATTATTGTATTGACTTAAAACAATCCTTGACATTTTAGTGCATGAATACATCAATGAATAATGTTAATTATCTTGAAAACATATATTGTCATGGGTATTGAGACATCTGGACTTTCCGCTGTTGTAGGAATGTGTCTTTGTAGGTATCTTTAGGCTGTTTCTTCAACTGTAAATATCTTATGACTGGGTCATGACTGGCAATGTGCCTTGCTAGTCTCAAGATGGAGCTGAATTTGAAATGGTGTTACTCTGGCTCTCCTGGGCTCCTGCTTCCATAACATTTCCCCCTCTACTTATGAGAGAACCCTTAATCTTAAGAGGAGATACAGGGTGAAGGTTGTTCTTCTGTAACTCCTTCCTGGTGGCAGTGGATGTTGATTGTTGGGACATACATGGTCCTCTCATAATAGTGTGCAGTGAGCCTCTTCAGGGAATCAGGGAGCTCCTTGCTTGCATGATGTCCCAATCATTTCAAGAAAATTAATATACTAGGTTAGTAAATAGATAGGTAAAACAGCCACTAAGCTATTTTATCTCGCTGACCTATACAATAAGCACAGCAGAAATAAAAAGTACAATAACTAATAATAATGAATGTTATAATACCAAGCATACTGAAAGAAATGCTTTCCAAGTGCTGGAGAGCTCATGAAATTATGCTGTTATGGAGTTTTATGACAGGGAATTCATTGCCAAATTCAGGTTTCCAGAGAACTCATGACCTGCAATATGTAGTCAGGAATATAGTGTAATACTCAGTTTTGTTCAAGGCACAATCTCCTCCCTTGGCTGCAGTTAAAATGTATAAGGCCATATGGTTTTGCAAGGCTACTGGTCTTATTTGGGAAGTTTCTATCCCAGAAGGATAGATGTCACCAAGGAGACAGGAGGGTGATAGCCTGATGAGTGTCACTGAAAGCTCCACCAGTATGTTTCGCTAGGGCTTTTACCTGTATGTAGTTCAGTGTCTATAACTGCTGCTTGAGGAGAGAGAATATGGCCATAGGATAAAACCACCAAGAAGCCTGTTTTGTCTTCATCTATGATGGGCCTTGACTGTTTTTCGGTTGGCAAGGAAGGAATCTAGATGTATGATGATATGTCTTAGAAGGTAGGGATGACCCCCTAGGACATTGTCCAGTCCAGATATAAGGTAGGTATAGCCAACTGTGAGACCCATGTGCCCATAACCTTCCCCAAGGAGAAGGATGGGCACCCAATCTTAGAGATTTATTTTGCCATCCTGTCCACATTTGATTAGTTAAGACCAGGGTCTGATTGCATTGTTGGGTAGCAACCATCTCATGTTGTAGGTTTCAGCTTGGAGGTGGCTGCTGTCATGTCTCTCAAGGCATAAAAGTACTTTACCTTTCACCTGAATTTGGGTAGCCATTAATCAGCTAAGCCCATCAAAACTGGTATAGCCTAAAGTGGGGATGTTATTTAGTTGTCTGCAGAACAATTGAAAAATGTTTTTTTTTTGTTTCAGTGGAGGAAGGGAAGAAGTAGTGGCTGGTGTCTTTTTGATACATTAGAAAAGGAAAGTATTTATTTCCTATAAACCACTCATTGAAGTGGCTTATATTAGCCTATTTGATATGCCAAGGTAACCCTGAGGTTGGTGAAAGAGGTAATTTACTGCATACCCAACAATTTTTCTGGTTTGGAAGAGAGGCCACAGTTTGTGCCCATTCCATAAATAAATTAGCTCCAATGTTATAATAGATCAAGTTTAATATTAAAACCAGTAATTTCATTTTGAGAGTAGTACTTATCTACTGGATGGCTTCTTTTTTTGAAGAGAAGCCACAGGATCTATTGGCTCACAAGAGTATGCTAGAATAGTGGTCACCATGTTGAATGCCTGTGGGACTTTATGAGAGGCAGGTTTAATTTTGGATGAATCTACTCAAGTTTAACTCCACTAGAGGTGCTTAGAAGTACTTGATAGGGTCCTTTGGAGAAAGTTGGTCTGTAGGAGGTCCTTCTTTCCAAGTTTTTAATATGACTAAGTCTCCTGGTTGAACAGCAGAGTTATAAATGTTTATGGAGGTGGTTCTGACACATGAATATTGAACAAACATGCATGTAACATATAACTGTTTACCCTGGAGTAGAGACTTAACCCTTGCCTGACATGATCTTAGATTCTATTTATAATTTGGTATTTTACTGCCACAAAGAGTCTGTTTTGTCAGATTTATGATTTTTATTTTAACATTAAGCTAGTCAGTTATGCCAGAATTTCAAGAAGAGGAAAGATATAGCAACGTGTGTCCAATCTCCCTGCTTCCCTTCATGGCCTGAACTAGTTTTTTGGTTTTTGGATGCCCTTTGGCCAAGAAGGAGGTCCATTTTGCTTAACCCAGTAGGCAGAGGTTACAGTGAGCCAAGATTGCACCATGGGGCTTAAGATTTTTAAAAATTTATTTATGTTAGGTTATAGTCCCCCCCTTTTTTGTCAAACTATGCCATCAATGGCCAAGCTCTTATTTTATTCCATATTGATGTCAGCGTGGTGTACTACCTGCCCTGGGTCTATCCTGTCCCATGGTGGGACCTCTGTGGCCAAGGGACTTGAGCAAAAGACTTATGGGCAATTAAACATTCTAGGCCAGGTGGGAATGGAGGTGGGTAGCCACTCATTAACCTTAAAACTCCTTTTAAGCAACATGAGAGCCAAAAGCCAAATGGCAGGGTTACAAAATTTACTTATTTATAAATTCTATACATTGAACTTTTTAATCTTGACTTGTAGCAATTAGCTATATAAAATACAAGCGTTTTGTTCAGCTTTAGAGGCAGCGTGCCTGACCTTCATTTGAAATCTGAATTGATTTTATTCCCTATAACAAGACCTTTCAATCTCATTTGATAGTCTCTGCGTTTGGAAGGAGTGAATCATTTCAAATTCTAGAGGAATGACAAAACATAAGGAATTAATGTTTTAAACAAAAATATCATAAGCCCTGCCTAGTTTTGAGAATGACAGGAAAGGAAGCCCATAGGTAGCTAAATACTTAAATTATTTAGTATCAAGGCATAGAAAAATTATATTCAGTTATAAGCAAAATTATTAAATGAATTTTAATGTTTTGAATATAGGCCTGTCCTTATATCTCTATCTGTAGGTCTCATGAAAGTACTTTACTTTGATTGTCCAGGTCCAAAGACAAGGCTTTGATTAGCTTCAGTTTGCTGTAAGATATTAGCAGGAATTGGTGCCTTCTTTAGATGAGGTGTATGTGCCCAGGAGTCAAAGCCCTGTAACTTAAAGGCACAAGGATTACTTAGTAGCACTTGATAGGCACCCTTTTAAGGAACTAGAGGGAGTCCTTTAACTGATTTTCTTTCTTTTCCTTTTTTTTTTAAACACAGTCTCATTCTGTCACCCAGGCTGGAGTGCAGTGGTGCAGTCTCGGCTTATTGCAATCTCTGCCTCTGGGTTTAAGCAATTCTCCCAACTCAGCATCCTGAGAGCTGGGATTATGGTCATGGGCCACCCTATCCAGCTAATTTTTTGTAGTTTTAATAGAGATGGGGTTTTACCAAGTTGACCAGGCTAGTCTAAAACTCCTGACCTCAAGTGATCCACCTGTCTCCACTCTCCAAAGTGCAGGGATTACAGGTATTAGCCATTGCACCTGGTCCTTTAACTGATTTTTTTCTAGTATATGTAATTATCAGGCTGGAGGTGGTATGTATTAGGCCATTTTTACATTGATGTAAAGAAATACCTGAGGCTGGTTAATTAATTTTCAAAATAGAGGTTTAATTGGCTCAGGAAACATACAGGAAGCCTAGTGCTGGCATCTGCTTCTGGAAAGTCCTCAGGAACCTTAAAATCATGGTGGAAGGTAAAAAAGAAACAGGCATTTCACATACTGAAAACAGGAGCAAGAAAGAGAGAGTGACAGGGAGGAGGAAGAGTCACATACTTTTAAACAACCAGATCTGGTGTGAAATCAGAATGAGGGCTCACTTATCACCAAGGAGACAGCCCAAGCTATTCATGAGGGCTCTGCTTCCATGATCCAAACACCTCCCACTAGGCTCCACCTCCAACACTGGGCATTACATCTCAACATGAAATTTGGAGGAGACATCTAAAGTATATTATGGTGATAATGAAGTTCGTGGTATGACTGAGAGCTTTAAAAAGATTCTATAGCCTTCTAGTGATTTTTATAGCTTTAATAAATCCCAACAATATGACTAAGTCAGAGACTCAATATAGGATTTTGAGAATGTTTATTAAACATGTTAAAAGGCTGAAAACATTTGATCAAAACAGAAGCACAGGCCATTGTAAAATAATAGTTACTCATTTACCCAAAGTGATAATTAAATACTTAGAAGCAATACAGAAAGTTATATAATGTAAAAACCTTAACCTTTTAAAATCCTGGTTGTTTTAGCAACAAAACAACCTAATAAAGTTAGCATAGGAATTATAAAATTTTGTTTCTTAAGACAGTTACCAAAAGGCACAAAAAGCCTTCTGCAGTGTGACTGTTACTCCTTATGGGAAGCCCATTTAGATAACCTGGACATCAAACCTGATGAAAAAAAGTGCTTGAATTTAATTGGACCCAGGAAGGGTATGTTCAAGGTTATGAGTATAGCAGAGGATTACCTCACTCATAAGAACACATAAGTTTTTTTTATAACATTGAAAGTTTAGACATATTTTAAAAAGCCAAAAGTACAGAATCAAGTTATACTAGAGGTAAACATTGCTTTTCTAGACCTTCAAGATAAAATATTTTAGCATTAGATCATAACAACAGTAAAATTAGAACTGGAGAAAAGAAAAGCTGATGAGAAAGCTGAAGGAAAGAGTTATCCCAGACCTCAAAAAAGGGAAAAGCAGTGCGACAGTAAAAGTTGAACTTCTGGGATATGATTCTGAGACTTTTCAAAAGAAATGGGTTATTAGGGCTGGGCATGGTGGCTCACGCCTGTAATCCCAGCACTTTGGGAGGCCAAGGCGGGTGGATCATGAGGTCAAGAGATCGAGACCATCCTGGTCAACATGGTGAAACCCCGTCTCTACTAAAAATACAAAAAATTAGCTTGGCATGGTGGCGCATGCCTGTAATCTCAGCTACTCGGGAGGCCGAGGCAGGAGAATTGCCTGAACCCTGGAGGCGGAGGTTGCGGTGAGCCAAGATTGCACCATTGCACTCCAGCCTGGGTAACAAGAGTGAAACTCTGTCTCAAAAAAAGAAAGAAATGGGTTATAAAAGTAAAAGTAAAATTTCTTATAATTTTATTAAGAGCAGATTAATACCTTAAGAAAATCTTGTCTTAACATTAGGGACCAAAATTTAGCTTATTTATAAATTATTTTCTTTTTATTGTAACCAGTTTAATCACCTACAAAATTCTTTTCATGAATTCCCCTTCACAAATCTTATGACTTACACAAACCATCTATGTCATGCTTGAACTTTTTGACTTGTTCTAAACTTCTCTGTTTCCTAAATAATCAGTCATTTTACTTTAGGACAGAAATTTACTATACAAGATTCTTTTTCATACAAAATTATGCTCTTTTCTTATAACCTTCCATACCAAAAATACGTTATTATTATTATTATTTTTGAGACAGGGTCTTGCTCTCTTGCCTAGGCTAGAGTGCAGTGTCAAATTCATAGCTCATTGCAGCCTTGACTTCCTGAGCTCAAGTGATACTCCCACCTCAGCCTCCTGAGTAGCAAGGATTGTAGATGAGCACCACCACACCTGGCTAATTTTTATATTTTTTGTAGAGATGGAGTTTGCCATGTTGTACAGACTGGTCTTGAATTCCTGACCTCAAGTGATCCACTGGCCTTGGCCTCCCAAAGTGCTGGAATTATAGTCATGAGCCATTGAGCCCAGCCAAAAATACATTTTCATATTTACAACTTTCTTCACATCTCTTTCTCCCTACTTGTTCCTTTTTACCTTCTTTCATAGGTAAATTTTAAATAAGCTCTAAATTATATAAAATTATTATTATTTTTCAACTGGGAGAATGCTCACTTCCCTCAATTGAGAGATGTTGAATTAAATAACCCAAAGAATGAAAATCATCTTTTGGAAAAAAATGATTTGTGTAATCTTCAGGTCATGCAAGCACAGGGCAACATGTGTCACTAGTGAGGCACAAACAGCAAATATGCAGCTGATTAAGAAGCAGTCGCAGCTGGCAAATATACCTCTGAGACTCAAACAGGTTATCCAACTTTGGTTGGGGCCTCTAGCCCCCAGTCTGAGTGGGGCCCTCTAACCTCAAGTCCCTGGGTAATATAAAGAAACATGGGTATTCCTGTGACTCCTGGGGCTTGGAAGGCTGACTATGTTGCAATGTATGTTGCGAAAAAGAAAAGGGACAACAAAGGGAAGGGAAGAGACAACAAAGAGCACTCACCTATCTATGAATCCCAAAACTTAGGAAGCAAGAAACCTAGAAGTGCTTGTCAGATGTTAGCATTGTTAGCATTTTATAGATAAAACCATTCCACAATTTTATTTTATTTTATTTTTGTGAGATGAGGTCTTACTCTGTCACCCAGGCTGGAGTGCAGTGGCACAGTCATGGCTCACTGCAGCATTGACCTGCCCAGCTCAGGTGATCCTCCAACCTCAGCCTCTTGAGTAGCTGGGACTGCAGATGGGTGCCACCATGCCCTGCTAATTTTTGTATCTTTTTTTAGAGGTGGGTTTTTGCCATGTTTCCCAGGCTGCCAAAATTTTAGAAACATGTTATCCTATATTATAAACATTTCTTAATTTGGAAAGAATCCAGACAGCCAGTAAGTCATGCCAGGAAAGCCATGGACCAAAATTTTGGGTAAAGTAGTTTTCATGGAAGTTTGGGTTTTTTTTTCTTTTAAGCCTTTTCACATTTTATTTTTCAGTTTCAAATGAGTTTCTAATATGTGCATTTCTTTGACATTTCTGGTTGAACTGCACAAGAAAAACAAAATCTCCCAGTTATCTAAATAGCAAGTTTTATTTCAATACCAGTAGTCTAATAATAACAGATTCAAATCAGGCAGAAAAGAAAAATAAAGAGCTTTAGAAGACTCTATTTAATTTCACAGTTGCAGGGCAAAAGTAACCACCAGAATGCCAACAGGCTGAAACTTCAGACAAGAGAATGGGACTCCAGGTTTCCACAGGGGCCAAGTAGATCAAGGTTTCTGCCTATTTTAACGAGGGGTATAAAAGCATCTAAGTCCTGCAGTGGTTAAGATATAGCAAGAACAGGCCAGGTGCAGTGGCTCACGTCTGTAATCCCAGTACTTTGGGAGGCCAACGCGGGCAGATCACCTGAGGTCAGGAGTTCGAGACCAGGCTGGCCAACATGGTGAAACTCAGTCTCTACTAAAAGTACAAAAATTAGCTGGGCATGGTGGTGGGCGCCTGTAATCCCAGCTACTTGGGAGGCTGAGGCAGGAGAATCGCCTGAACCTGGGAGGCAGAGGTTGCTGTGAGCTGAGATTGTGCCATTGCACTCAAGCCTGGGCAACAAAGTGATACTCTGTCTCAAATATATATATAGTAAGAACAAATCTTGCAAGTCCTCAGGTTTCCCATGCTGTCTCGCAACATGACAAAGAAAGCAAGCGAAAAAGTGATAGTCAGAAGGCAAGTGTGGAAAGTGCATGAAGTAAACCTCTTTACTGGCCACTGTAAGGCTGTAGTAAAGCAAAGGCAACAAGCTGGGAAATGATGATAACTATAGCTTTCCCATATCCAGCAAAGGGGACAAAGTGGATTAGTCCAAAGCATATACTGTCATACATCTTGTAAGGCTACTTTGATTTTTATTATGCCCTAGAGACTCTTACCCCATTGGGCTGGGACTCTAACCCAAATATTGTACCCTAGGGACTCTAACCCCATTGGGCTAGAAATACTGTTCTTGATAGGATGCCAAGACAGACCCCACTTATCAGAGGTGGCCAATTATTGCTGTGCAGGCTGAACTTCTTCAGCATGGAATCTCATCCTGATGTCCCTTTGTAGTCACTAGATGATGTTACCAGATAAGGGGTCTTTATCCAGACCCTAAGAGAGGGTCTTTGGATCTCATACAGGTAAGAATTCAAGGTGAGTTGCAGAGTACAGTGAGAAGACACAGCTTATTGAAAGCTACTTCATTGTGGAGTAGGACGTACTCAGAGGGCAAAAGGAATGCACCGTCCTTATTTTAAGTTTTTCTTATGTAGAGCCCTTATCTAAGTAAAGACTAAACTAAGCTATGCCTATGTGAGGATGAGCAGATACCATGACAAAATGTATTATTCTATTGATTTAAATAAAACTATCTTAGACATTTTAGTGTGTGAATACATCTAAGCATAACTGCAATTATCTTGAAAACATATATTGTTATGGGTATTGGGACACCTGGACTTTATGCTGTTTAAGAGTATGTCCTTGTATGTATCTTTAGGCTGTTTCCTCAGCTGTAAATATCTTCTGACTGTGTGTCACAACCAGCAAGGAATTATGCTTTGTTAGTTTCCAGATGGAGCTGAACTTAAAATGACATTACTCTGGTTCTCCTAAGCTCTTGCTTCCTTAACAGCACTGTTAGAAGTTGAAGGTTTAATTCTTTCTTCCTTTAGGCTTGTAATAATTAAAGTTCAGGTGTCTCTTGAACAACGCAGGGCTAGGAGTGCTGACCCACATGTATTAGAAAATCTGAGTACAACTTTCGGCTCTGCAAATTCTGAACTGCTAATAGCCTGCTATTGACCTTACCAATAACATAGACAGTTGATTAACACATATTTTTATGTTATAGGTATTATTTTCTATATTATTTTAAAGAAAATGTTATTAGAAAAATATAAGAGAAAAATATATTTACTATCCATTAAGTGGAAGTGGATCATCATAAAACTCTTCATCCTCATGGTTTTCATGCCGAGTAGGTAGAGGAAGAGGAGGGACTGGTCTTGCTGACTTAGAGGTGGTAGAGGAGGTAGAAGTAGGGGCAGGAGAGGCAGGCATACTTATTATCAACTTTTATTGGGTATAAATGGACCTGTGAGTTCAAACTCATGTTGTTCAAGAGTCAAACATGTTCTTAAAATATCCAATGCTTTTTTTTTCTCTTTTTATGTTACTTTTTCTGTAGTTTGAAAAGCAAGATAGTGAGAATAGGCTTATGAGGAAAAATGTAGTCCTTTGCCCCATCTCCCTGGCTCCCTCCCCACTTGCAAATCCCCCTTTCTCAAGCAAGGATTTCTAAATCTTTTGTTTCTTTTCAGCCACTTTGTTGTAAACTCTTAACTTATTGTTCAGCTGTGATACTTAATACAGTACTGTGTTTTACATACCTGAGTCTTAAGATTTGCATGTTAGTAACAATAGAGGTGAGTTGGTAGCACTTGGTCTAAATACCTTAATAAATATTCTTTCTTTCTAGTGAAACCATTTGCAAATGAAGAAGAATATAAGAAAACTGAAGAAATAGTTCACAAATTTCAAAATGGGATTGGAGAAAAGTTGCACCAGAAATTGCTTGAAAGGGCAAAAGGAAAAAGAAATTGGGTATTTGTTGTTATAATAGAAAAATTGATGAAGTTTAAAGAATAATAAAAATGTACATAGTTTTCATTTTTGAATTATTGCTCTAAAATTTTTAGTTATTATTATCATTTTTATAAGCCAAAAGAATGAATGAATCACTTAACTTAAGGAGTTTTCACTCTGGGTGGATCCCAGAACTTAAAATGCAGATTTCCTGGGATAAGTGATTTGGATTCACATGTCTGAAATGGGACCCAGGGGCCTAGAGATTCTTATTTTAACAATCACTTCATGTGGTTTGGCTAAAGGTGATCTGTAGACCATGCTTAAGAAAAACATTTTGTCCAGGTGACTAGCTTGAAAAATCCAAAACACTAAAATAGACATGTCACATAGGTGACATAGAAATATTTTAATAGTACATGGAAGAAAAGGAGTCATCAAAAAATCAGAGTGGAGAATGATTGTGTATACTGTATATTTCAGTTAGATAAATTGAGGAAGAAGCTAGTATAATAATTATTGAAGGTCTCAATAATTTTCCACAAAGATTCTTTAACTTCTTCAGCTCAACTATTTCTCTACTTCTTTATTATGAATCAGAGGATGAGTTTTTATAATTAAAAAGCATTGCCTTACATTATATTATTGACAGGTACAAAAAGGTACAATAATGATTGTACCTGTCATTTAGTTTTAGAAATAAAAAGCAAGCTGATTTTTTTCATGAGCCATTGATACCTATGATGGAATAATAAAATTTCACACTTTGGGATTCCTTTGTTCTCACTTTTGAGGCTTATTTTAATTAAAGTGGGGCAAAGTAAAGAAGTTGTTGTTTTATCAGTATACTTTTTTGTATGTCTCTTTCTGAGTTACTAATTATAGTTTATAACATCACTTTCTTCAAAAAAGACTCCAGGTAATTTGATAAGATGTGCTTACTTATGCATGGAATTCAGTTGCATATTGTGAAAGAGGCACACGTAGAAAACAGTGTCTATGAAAAATCTAAATTACTTTAAAGCCTACTGAAAATTTTTTATATTTCCTTTCTTTTATTTATTTATTTTTTGGAGATAGAATCTCACTCTGTTGCCCAGGCTGAAGTGCAGTGGTGCAATCTCGGCTTACTGTAACCTCTGCCTCCTGGATTCAAGCGATTCTCCTGCCTCAGCCTTCCATGTGGCTGGCATTACAGGCATGCACCACCATACTTGGCTGATTTTTGTATTTTTTTGTAGAGATGGGGTTTTGCCATGTTGGCCAGACTGGTCTCAAATTCCTGGCCTCAAGTGATCCACCCACTTCTGCCTCCCAAAGTGCTGGGACTACAGGCATGACCCACTATGCCCAGCCAGTTTTTATATTTCTGATTTAGTATTTCAGTTTTTGTTTGGGAAAGGAAAATTGTAAATGTCTTAATAACTCTTATCATTAGGTAAGAACTTATTGATTATCTGTTATGTCTCAAGTACTCTGGAGAAACGCCTAAGTACTTTGTTGCATACTTGTGACTTCAATACATGACTGAGGGTACCTTTTGGTGCTTTCTTGTTATTTGTTTTTGATAGTGCAGTTAAACCAAATAATATTTAATATCCTATGCCTCCCCAAAAAAGAAATTATCATAATAACATTTCTCAATATCTATGGTGGTTTAAAACAAGAATCATGTTTTCATCTATTTAATTCACTTTTTGAGACAGAGTCTTTCTGTTACCTAGGCTGGAGCACAGTGGTATAATCATAGCTCACTGCAGCCTTGAACTCCTGGGGCCTCAGGTGATCCTCCTGCCTCAGCCTCTTGAGTAGCTAGGACTATATGCATGTCCAGCTAATTTAGTTTTTTTTTTTTTTTTTTTTTAAGTAGAGATGGGGTCTCTCTATGTTGCCCAGGCTGGCCTCAAGGTCCTGGCCTGAAGCATTTCTCTCACCTTGGCCTCCCAGAGTGCTGGGATTATAGGTGTGAGTCACCTTGCCGAGCCAGAAGACATGTTTTTAAATGTTGAAAAATTTAACAAATATAGCTTGCTTTTTAAAATTGCCAGTAGTTACACATTCACGTATTATGAAGAACATTAAGCTGATGTTCTCAATTTCTTTTAGCTGGAGGAGTGGTGGCTGAATGTTGCCTATCTGGATGTTCGTATACCATCACAACTGAATGTCAACTTTGCGGGTCCTGCACCTCATTTTGAACACTACTGGCCTCCAAAGGAAGGCACTCAATTAGAAAGAGGAAGTATAATTCTTTGGCATAATTTGAACTACTGGCAACTATTAAGAAAGTAAGGACATGTGTGAATTTAATAACAGGCTTACCTGAAGTCTCAGGTGGCAAAATGTTGAGAAGCTTAATTTACTTATTTGGGGATGAATATTTCAGTTGTGGCTGCTTTTTAAATTTTATAATGACTTCTTGATCAAAATACTTTTTTTAAATAGAGAAAAAGTACCTGTTCATAAAGTTGGAAATACTCCTCTAGATATGAATCAATTCCGAATGCTGTTTTCTACCTGCAAGGTTCCAGGAATTACAAGAGACTCGATTATGAATTATTTTAGGACTGGTAAGTAAAAATGCAGGTATCTTTTTTAGTAAAGGAATTTGGGTAGTCTACTGTAACATGATGGAACATACACTTTTGAAGAATATTACTGTTGGGGCTTTGACAAAGGTTTTCTGTGAGCCTTATATTTGAATCATTCTGATTAGTTTAAATGTGATTTATAGGAATGGATTTTCTGAAGGTGTCTTACATGATTCAGTACAAACTTGATGCTTATGTTCCATCATTTGAAAGTTTAAACTTTAGTTGAATAGTAGAATCAGAGTATTAAGGAAATCCTGAAACATGTGATCTGGATGCTTCTCTTTCTTTTTCTACCCTCATTTTTTATTTCTGGAATTGTCTTTTTGAGTGCTTATATGTACTCATTGGCCACAGTCTCTCCGTGAGTCTGCTTTTCCCCCCACCTTATATGAGGTAAAAGCCTGGAATCACTCTTCCTTTTTTTTTTTTTAAGACAGGGTCTTACTCTGTTGCCCAGGTTGTGATCTCAGCTCACTGCAATCTCCACCTCCTAGGCACAAGTGGTCTGCTTGCCTCAGCCTCCCAAGTGGCTGGGACTTCAGGCAGACCTCCACACCTGGCTAATTAGTGTATTTTTTGTAACGATGGAGTTTCACTATGTTGCCCCAGGCTGGTCTCAAACTCCTGGGCTCAAACAGTCTATCTGCCTCAGCCTCCAGAAGTGCTGAGATAACAGGCATGAGCCGCCATGCCTGGCTCGGAGTCACTCTTCTTAGCGACAGATGAGTTCAGATTGACTCATCAATTTTTTTTTTAACTGTCAGTTTAATGGCAGTTTCTGCTTAGTGTCCTAGCTTATCTTTAAATGGAAAATTCTGCTGTGGTAACTGCTTTTTTCACAGTTTTTACTTTCTGAAGAGTGTAATTATGAATGGATTTTTTTCTTACATAAAATTTTATTTAAAAGTAAAATATTTATAGCCAGTCATGCTCATAGTATGAGGGGTATGAGCTTACTTTCATGTAGAACTCAACTCGTCTTTGTAAACTTCTTTACATGCTTGAAATATTTAATGTCCTCAAGCCCACATATATTTACCTTGTTGTTACCAGTGAAATAATTAAAAGATTAGGGAAACTGAGTTATTCATGGTCTAATGTTTAATGTGCAAATATGAATGGAAAAGATGATCAAGAGAAAATTAATGTAAGGAGAGCAATAGCAAAGAGAGAAAATATGCTTGTCAGTTAAGAACTTAATGTCAATACCTGGTTTTGAATTGTCTATCACTTAGTAGATATATCCTTAGATAAAGTAACTCTTTTGAGTTATAGTTTGTAAAATGCGGTTTCGTTAATAATGCATCTCTTGATATGGTGGTTTAAGCTGACATGGTTATTACATTTTGGGGCTTACATGTGAAGACATATAGACAAAGGGATAAAGTGTGAGGTAGACATGAAACAAATCAGAATTCATGGCAGATAATATACAGACAGTTCAAATAAGATGAGTAACTGGATGACTGTTTTATGTTAGGTAGTCAGGGAAGGCCATTCCAAGGAACTGAATGATAAGATGGACCCAGAGAGTATTTTGGCTTTCTTTTGTTTAGTTGACTTTTGTGGCTGTTCTTATTTTTTGTGTGTATTGAGGGCAGAATGCACTGGGCAGAAATAAAGTTGGCAGGTTAAAAGGGCAGTATGGATGGAACAGGGTACACGGGAGGGAGATGGGCAGATTGGAAAGGTGACTAGAGGGTAGATCATATAGTACTTTATAAACCAAGTTAAGGTTTTTGGCTTACATTTGAAATGTGAACAGGAACTATTAGTGAGTTTTGAGGAAAAGAATGATGACCAGATTTATGCTTTGAAAAGTCCATTCTGCCTACTATTTGAAGAATAGACTTTTAGGAGAGAGAGAAGTTTACAAGCAGGGAGGTCAACTAGAAAGTTGTTCCTGTAGTCCAAGTGAGTCAGGATAATGGCTTGGACTAGGTTGGTGGCATTGGAGTGGTGAGAAATTATACTCTGGTTATATTCTGGATTTGGGGTTAGCAGGAATATTTATATATGGGTTGAAGATGTAAGAGAAAAATAGGAATCAGATGACTTCAACATATTTGGCTTGAGCAGCTAACAGGGTAGTTGGCTGTGTAGATAGATTCATGAGATGGGAAATAGTGGGAGGAGATGATTTGAGGAAAAGCAAATGGTCTTTAAACTGTTGAAATTAAGATGCCTTTTAGACATTTAAATGGAAATGTAAGTAGGCAGTTGGATTCAAGATTTATGGTTTTGGAAATAGCTGGGCGCAGTGGCATGCACCTGTAATGCCAGCTACGTGGGAGGCTGAGGCAGGAGAATCGCTTGAATTCATGAGGGGGAGGTTGCAGTGAACCAAGATTGTGCCACTGCACTCTGCTTTGGGCAACAGAGTGAGATTCTGTCTAAAAAAAAAACAAAACAAACAAACAGAAAATTGAAAAATGATGTGTATTGACAGGATGGACAGAGTTTAAGCCACTGAAGTTAGTCTCAATACAGAAGTTATAATTAGAACTAGTTTTCATTTTTTGTCTTTTTTTTTTTTTAGTCTGTCACCCAGGGTGGAATGCAGTGGTGTGATCACAGCTCCCTGCAATATCAACCTCCTGGGCTCTAGCAGTCCTCCCACCTCAGCCTCCTGAGTAGCTGGGACCAGGCACATGCTACCACACCTAGCTAATTTTTGTACTTTTTGTAGAGATGGGGTTTTGCCGTGTTGCCCAGGCTGGTCTCAAACTCCTTAGCTCAAGTAGTCTGCCCATAGCAGCCCCTAAAGTGTTGGGATTACAGTTGTGAGCCACAGCACCCGGCCTGTTGTTGTTTGTTTTTACCTGCTCCCTAGGACACCATTCAGACAAACTCAGTCATACCTTTCATCTGCGTTTACCACATTTGCACAAAAAGCCCAGACCGCCCATGTTATCCCTTGTCAGCTGGATTCTTGGATTTGTACATGGTTTAATTTGATCCAGATTCCCCATCGCTCTGATGTACCCTCACCACTTCCCCAAACCCTTCTGCTGAACTTTCTGGAGCTCATGATCAGCCAAATCCATTATAAGATATTGTTACTGAAGTTTGATTGTTCAGTAAGCTCACTGCTTCCCTTGTAACCCTCTAAAGGTTTTTTTTTTCTTTTATATAGCATGACAGAGCTTGCGGGAGGTATTGGTATCCTTTTTGTTTCCCTTTGCCCTTTCTCTTTTCCCTTCTGCCTTAACAGTTTTAGCCTTTTGGGAAAAAAAAAAGTCATTAGGTTATATCACCACTCCATTGTTGCAGTGACTTTCCTCCTGCTCATTCCCCTTCATCTATTGATTGCTTTAGTGCCAGTGCCTGTCTTTCTTTCCATTACTACCTCAGTCACATTCTTGATGATTTTAGCTTTCAATTGTAGATGATCCATAGGCTCTCATATCCTTCACTTTATAGCTCTAGGAAACTGTACGTCTTTCAGTAATACAACTCAGCTGTTCCTCTGGCCACATTGTGATTTACAGTTTAATGAAGCTACTGCTCTTCACAGTTTCATTCCTCCTTCTCGAAATTTTCACTTTTTTGTGGTCTTCACTGTCATCACTCCCAGGCATACACATTCCAATCTTTGTCTCCCCTCCCCAGTACTAATGTGGTAAAATGTAAACATTGTTTTAATTTTAATCTGTCTTTTCTCTGCATATCAAAGATACCTACTCTAGCCATTTACTTGACCAAAGAAAACCACAAAACCTCACTTAATGATCTCAGTTAAATCTCATGTTGGTCTCCAGCACTATTATGCTATCTTCCTTGGCATTTCCCCTCCAGAGAAGACTGTTTCATGCCTTTCTCCCTCCTTCTTCTTAGCTAACAAACTCTTCTTATTCACCACAAATATGAGCAATCTTCCCATTATGACATTTACCCGCCTTTCAATGGTGGGCAGAATAATGGTCCCCCATAGATGTCTACTTTCTAATCCCTGAAATTGTTAATATGTTAGGTTATGTGGTAAAGAGGAATTAAGGTTGCTAGTCAGTTGACTTTGAAATGGGGACATTATCCTGGATTATTCACATGGGCCCAAAGTATTTCATCACAAGGGTCTTTATTCATGGAAGAGGGAGGCAAAGGAGAGAAGCAAAGAGATGGGGGTATGAGAAGGTTATGATCTTCCCTTGATGACTTTGAAGATGGAAGAAGGGGTTCATGAGCCCAAAGAAGGTGGATAGCCTCTAAAAGCTGGAAAAAGGAAGAAACTGATTCTCTTCTAGAGCCTCTAGAAGGAACACAGCCCTGATGACACCTTCATTTTAGCCCAATAAGACATATTTCAGATTTCTGGTCCTTAGACCTCTAAGTTAATAAATTTGTGTTGTTTTAAGCTACTAAGTTACTAGTAACTTGTTTTTGCAACCATTGAAAACATACTAATTCAAACATATGCCCATTCCCTATCCTCTTGCAATATGTTACTACAAATTCATATGCTTTTCTTTTCTTTTTAAAAAACAGATGAACTGTTCTGACTCTTAAGGACAACTCTTCCGTATCTGTGCTGAGTCCTGTTTCCTCTTGCCTGGCCAAGGACCTTGCTTTTGCATTATCCTCTCTCTTTGCTGCTTATCAGTTTTCTTTCTTTACTTGATTGTTCCCATCTGTAATATCTCCCACCTTAAAAGGAAAACAATTCACCTCTTGTCTCCTTCAAGTATCACACCCCATTTGAAGCCACCATCCCATCTCTCTTAGATTGTTCTCACCTAGATGGCTTTAGTCACTTCCTAATTGATCTTGCCTGCCTCCTCTTCCCCCTTGTAATCTGTTCTCCATGTAGCAGCTGGAGTGCTCTTTTTAAAGCATTAGTTGTTAGATTACATTATCACTCCCCATCTTTTGGTTTCCTTCCCATTCCAACCATCTTTTGGTTTCCTTCCCATCATACTGGAAAGCACTTTCTAAGGTCGGTATGATCTGGCCTCAGCCTTATCTACCACTCTACCCTTTTCTTCCTGCTGCAGCTGCTTGTTTTCCTTCAAGCAGATCAACTCATGTTTATTCCAATGCCTTTGTGCTTGCTGTTTCCTCTGGGTGGAAAACTCTTCTGCCAATATTTCCATGGCTTACTTTCTCACTTCATTCAGTTTTCTGCTTAAATATCCCCTCAGGTTTATCCTGAGCTAGCACCCTTCTGCCACCGTCACCTCTTCCAGCCATTTATTGATTAATTTGGCATGAGGTTTATTCTTTTCCAGCCCTAAACTCGGAAAGGGGTGTGGTCAGGAGATGACAGCAATATAAGAGTAGTGGTGGTAGAGGCAAAGGTTCTGGAGGTTTTTGAAAGGGCAGAAACAAGAAATGGTTTGGAAGTAGCCATGAGGAATAAGGAAAATACATACCTCACCTCCAAGGTCTTGAGGAAATAAGATATAAGAGGAAAAAGAGTAATGTTATCAGGAGACAGTTCTTCCTCATAGTTGATGAAAAGATTTCATGAGATAATGTGTATAAAGGCCTTAATACCGACTCATAAATAATACCAACCAGTATATTTCCCTCAAGTGGCAGTGTATGTCTTCTCTTTCTTACTCTTTTTCCATTTTATTTTCTTAGAAGATAGGGGAAGGGATCATATAAGAAGATCTTTGGCAAAGGGACAAGTACCTAAAAATGGGGCTGTATCGGAAAGTCTGAGGTTTACAGCAAACAGTTCTTGGGGAGTTAAGGTGTGCCAAAGGAGTCAGAGAATGCATTGTCAGCGGCTTTCCAAGTGTTACCAGACTGGACAAAATTCTTTTCCTTTGCCACTCGGGCATACTGTATCCTTTTCTACTGAAAATTATTTTATTGAGGAATCACAGCTAGATATTACTGCAATTAAATTACTTGATGAGTAATTAACATTAAAATAATCCCAAAGAGAAACTCGTTAATTCAAATGGCTCTCCTCCAAGATTCCTCTGGTCTTCTTCTCCCCTTCCCTTTTCTATTTCTAAGTAAAACTAGAGACGTCTGCAGTAGTTTGGGATTTATGTGAATTTCAGGGTGTTTGAAACTTGTGGATTTCTAGATGTCTCACATGGAACAAGTGTCAGGAGTATGTATTTATACCACAGTAACTGCAATTCCATTAATACATTGTTTTTGTTATGTGATATATGTGATGACTATATGATAAATAAAATATTGGAAGAATCTATACTTTTCTTCTAATGGAGATATGCATGTTTATTCCTGTTTAACCTTAGATTTGAGGCTTGTGTTTTCTGCTTCTTTTTCCAGAGAGTGAAGGGCGTTCTCCAAACCACATTGTAGTGCTGTGTCGAGGCCGAGCTTTTGTCTTTGATGTAATGCATGAAGGATGTTTAATCACCCCGCCAGAGCTTCTCAGGTTTTCAGACTACTTTCTTGAGTGTCATTAGGTCTTAAGGTGTTGCATGAATTAAAATATACATGTTTAGAATTGCCTTTCAATGTGACAGTAAGCTTAAAGATAAGAATTTTATACACGCTTTTTTAAAACAAAAAAATCTATTTGTATTTTTAATTTATTTTTAAATTTTACTATACACACACAGGCACACACACACACACACGTTAATTTGGAGAAAAGGAAAACATTACATATATTACCAATTCCATTCCCTGCCCCAGAATTAATCACTGTTATTACTTAGTGTGTTTCATCTTTCCAAACGTGTTGCGATGAGTTTACATGCATACCTAGCTTAAAATATACATAATATGTATTATATGTGTGTGTGTATATACATACGTCTGGTATGTATTTTCTTTGCATGTGTTTTAAAGTATAGAAAATTTCAAAATATATAGGGGATTATATAATGGTAACTCCTGTGTACCTATCTTCTAGCTTCAACAGTTACCAACTCTTAACAGAAACAAACTCATAGTCATGCTGTTTCAACTATATCTCTTTCACCCTTTCCCTCACTTTCCCATGGATTATTTTGAAGATAATCTGATATATCTTTTCATGATAAATATTTCAGTATACATTTCTAAAATATAAGGACTCTTTTAAAATACACATACAATACCATTATCACACCTAATGACTTCTAAAAAGTAAACTTTTTTTTTTTTTTGAGACAGAGTCTTGCTCTGTGTCCAGGTTGAAATGCAGAGGCACAATCTCAGCTTATTGCAGCCTCCACCTCCTGGGTTCAAGTGATTCTTCTGCCTCAGCCTCCTAAGTAGCTGGAATTACAGGTGTCCACCACCTCGCCTAGCTAATTTTTCTATTTTTAGTAGGGATGGGGTTTCGCCATGTGGCCTGGCTGGTCTGGAACTCCTGGCCTCAAATGATCTGCCCACCTTGGCCTCCCAAAGTGCTGGGATTACAGGTGTGAGCCACCACACCTAGCTAAATAAACAATAATGTTTTAATATCACTAATAGATAATCAGTTGTTCTAATTGTTTTCTAATTGTTGGGTATATATTATCTATTTATAACTTAAATTATGTTTATTAAATATTGCAAACATGTACAAAAATGCACACAGAAATATACAGCTGAATATTCATGTAACCTGCACCCAGGTCAAAAATCAGAACATTCCTAGTATTCCAGAAGATCCCCCACATCCCTCTTCCATACTTTCACTCCCCCCAGGCAATCATTTACATTGTTTACAGTTTGCATTATTATTTTTAAAAGGCTGCTATGGAAATCCTTGTATTGTATAAGTCTTTTGGTGTACACATGCATCTATTTCTGTCTGGAACACACCACCCAGAAGAGAATTTGCTGAGTCATAGGGTATGTGTATGTTCAGCTTCAATAGATAATGCCAGTTTTCTAAAGTAGTTATAAGTATGTCTACTAGTGTATGAGTGTTGTAGAAGTTCCTTTTGCATCCTGGGTAAGAGTTCTTACTTGATTGTGTGTGTTAAAATACATAGAAGATGTTTATAATTGATCTTTTAATAGAAGATGTTCTATTAAAGGTATTTTCCTGATCAACAGAAGTTCTTAATTTGAATGTAGTTCAGTTTATTAATCTTTTAATCTTTACCATACAGATTATACATTTTGTGCCCTGTTTTAAAAAATTTTTCCCCAACCCAGTGCCAAGAAGATAATTTTTTATGTCCTGGAATGTTGATATGCCTTTTACATTTGTATTTATATTCTGCATAGAGTTAATTGATTATTGTGTTGACATGAGGCACAGGGGTAGTTGCACATTTAAAAATAGTGTTATTTTTCTAGTTAACATCTTTTAATCAACAGTAAATGTAATCTTTCCATATTGGTACAAATAGATCTACCTTATTCTTTTAAACTATTACATAAAATTCCATAAAATGGATATATTATAGTTGACATGACCATTTCTCTATAAGACATTAAAGTTGTTTCCATTTGTTGCTATAACAAATAATGAACATTTTCAAACATGCCTCTTTGTGTATTTGGATAAAATATCTGTGGTTTGATATTAGAAGTGAAATTTTCACAACATCCAGTGTATACATTTAAGTCAAATTGTCATCCACAGTGGCATTATTTTTTCTGCCAGTATTATGTGAGGAGACTCATTTCTCCTAATCATTGCTGACATGTTATTAATAAACTTAAAACATATCTGGTGGGGGGAATACAGTGGCTCATGCCTGTAATTGCAACATTTTGGGAGGCTGAGGCTGGAGGATCACTGAAGGCTAGGAGTTGAAGATCAGCCTGGGCAACATAGAGAGACCCTGTCTCTACAAAAAGTTAAAAAAATTAGCTGGACATTATAGTGCTACTTGGGAGTGCTCCCAGCTACTTGGAAAGCTGGGGTGGGAGGATCTGTTGAGCCTGGAAGGTTTAGCTCACTCCGCTGTGATCATGTCACTATACTCCTGCTTGGGTGACAGAACAAGATCCTGTCTCAGAAACAAATTAACAAACAAAAAACAACCCTCCCCCACATACACAAAAGCTATATCTAGTGAACTGACAGGTTTTTATTGTTGGGAAAATTGGTTTTTATTGTTAAATTTGCATATTCTTCATTACAAGTTAGGTTGAGCATTTTTTTTTTTTTTTTTTTTGAGACGGAGTTTTGCTCTTGTTACCCAGGCTGGAGTGCAATGGCACGATCTCGGCCCACTGCAACCTCCGCCTCCTGGGTTCAAGCAATTCTCCTGCCTCAGCCTCCTGAGTAGCTGGGACTACAGGCGTGCGCCACCATGCCCAGCTAATTTTTGTATTTTTAGTAGAGACGGGGTTTCACCTTGTTGACCATGATGGTCTCGATCTCTTGACCTTGTGATCCACCCGCCTCGGCCTCCCAAAGTGCTGGGATTATAGGCATGAGCCACCGTGCCCGGCCAGGTTGAGCCTTTTTATATATTTTATAGGGCATTTATTTGTGTTTTCTGTGAGTTACTTTTGCCTATTTTTCTATTGGCTATTTTATTTTATTCTTACTGATTTATAGCAATTATTTATATGGTCTGTACATTAATCCTTTGTAGATTATGTGTGTTGCAAACATTTTCTTCCAGTTAAAACAAATTTTGGAAATTATACAATCTTAATTTTCGTGTAGGCAGATTTATCTTTTAAATAATTTGCTTTTGTATCTCGGATAATATTTGCGTGTCTTCCCACTACGTTTTAGTGTGTTTTAAATTTGACATACAATTATTCGAGCAGGCTTATTATTATTCAAAGCCACTCTTCCAGAAATTGAACACATGAGCTTCATGGGTTACATTCAGCCTGTGACCTCTTTTGCTTGGAAAGCAGAATTTGAATCACTATTTAAAAATCAGGAAAATTTACATACAAATCTGGGTTTCTGTTTTTGCCTTAAAAACCGCCAAAAGTTCACTTTGGGAGGCTGAGGCGGACAGATCATGAGGTCAAGAGACTGAGACCATCCTGACCAACATGGTGAAACCCCGTCTCTACTAAAAATACAAAAAAATTAGCTGGGCATGGTGGTGCACACCTGTAGTCCCAGCTACTCAGGAGGCTGAGGCAGGAGGTGGAGGTTGCAGTAAGCCAAGATTGCACCGCCGTGCCTCTACAGCCTGGATGACAGAGTAAGACTCTATCTCAAAAAAAAAACAGAAAAAAAAAAAAGTTCTGGCAACCATCAACCTACTTTCCATCTCTCTAAATGTAGCTATTTTATACCTTTTATTAATATAGGAATAGAATTTTACAACATATAGCCTTTTGTGTGTGGCTTCTTTCACTTAGCATAATGTTTTCAAGGTTCATCCATGTTTTAGCATGTATGAGTACTTTATTCCTTTTATTGCTGAATAATATTGTTTTATAGATATGCCACATTTTATTAACTGTTCATCAGTTGATGGGACATTTGAATTGTTTCCACTTTTTGTCTATTATGAATAACAGGCAAATAGACAATAAATTATTCATAATGCTGCCATGAACATTATGTACAGGTTTTCATATGAACATACACTTTCGTTTCTCTTGGGTATATTTTAGGAGTAGAATTGCCAGGTCATATGGTAACTCAGTGTTTACCAGTTTATTGAGAAACTACCAGACTGTTTTCCAAAATGGCTGCACCATTTTACATTCCCATCAGGAGTATATTAGGGTTCCAGTTTCACCACATCTTCACCAACACTTATTGTCTGCCCTTTTTATTACAGCCATGCAAGTAAGGTTAAAGTGGGATCTCATTGTAGTTTATATTTGATAATGATGTTGAAGATTTTTTCACATGCCTTTTGGCCATTTTTGTATATCTTACTTGGAGAGATATCTAGTCAGATACTTGGCCAATTTTAAAATTAGGTTATTTGTCTTTTTGAGTTGTAACAATTCTTTAGATATAAGACTTTTTACAGATATATAATTTGCAAATTATACCTCCTGTTCTGGGCTTTGATTTTCACTTTCTTCATGGTCTCTTTTGATGTACAAAATTTTTCATTTTGACAAGTTTCATTGCTTAATCTCAAGACATGAAGATTTATACATATATTTCTTTTAAGATCTTTTAAAAAAATTGTGGGAAGTGAGGGAGATAATGTTTGAATGTACATTTAGCTGGAAATGTTGGCAGGAATTGAAGTAGAGATATCCAACAAGCACATTGGAACTTAAGTAACAGATTGAGAGAGAAAATGGTGTTGAAGTTAGAAAGTTGGTGGCTTCTTAACATAAACATAATAATTGAAACTATTAAAGAAGTGGACGAGATTACCGATGGAGAAACTTGTAAGAGGAGCTTGGGAAGGCCAATGACAGAAATTGGGGAAAAGACACATTCAGCAGTGTAAGGAGACAGCAAATGGTCAATGAAAAATACTTCAGTGAGGTACGGAGAGCACAATGGGACCACTGAAAAAATCAAATTAGAAGACAATTTTAACATTTATACCTGAGTGTCAAACATTCTATAATGAGGAAAATTAGACTGAAATAAAGCTACTAGGTTTCCTTTATGGTACATTATTGGTGACTTTCAGAAGAGCAGTTCCAAGATAATTACTGGAGGATAAAAATCGAGGACAGTAAATTAAAGAGTGAATGGGAAGCAATGAAGGCAGAAGCTAGATTGTGTGGAGTATAGAATATTTAAAAATATATGATTCTGTAATGTAGATTTTTAATACAAATTTGTTTAAATTTGTATTAAATTAAATTTATACAATTAATACACATTTGTATTAAAAACAAATCTTTGTGCTTTGAAATATAAAAAATTAGACGTGTAGCTGAAAAACAGGTGCATAGTTATCCAAGTTAAAAGAAAAGAGGGATTATCTTGTTACCAAATCTGTATCTCTTAATGGCAATGATTTGGGCAGTTATAAACTTAAAATGTAATTTCAGGTTTAACACATTTTCCTTTGTAATTTCTCCCTAATAATGACTAGCTTGTAAAACAAACATGAGAATGATCATTTCAGGGAGGAGGAAAAAGCTTCCTAGCCAAAACTGGTGCTTTGAGGTAGGTGATAATGGAAAGGTAGCAACAAGTTCCATACGGAGAAAAACAGGTAGATTTTATTTAGAAATTTAGAGTTTATGCTAGTAACCACAAACTGCAAAAGCTTTATTTATAATTGGAGCAAAATCAGTAGTTAATAAAGTAACAAGTAAGCAGGAAGAGAAGCAAGGAAGGTTGCTCTTGCCATAGATGCACATTGGTGAAGAAACACTTATCTGTTCCATGGGACACCATTTATTTGCAAATAAAAGGGGGGAATTTTTCAGCAAGAAAATTATTTCTTTATCAATGTTACAGATATAATTAACAAACAGAGGAGTGTATGCAAATCAATAGATGTGTTTTTTTTTTCCATTTTGAATGATGAAGTCAAAATGGATGGCTACTAGTGGCATTTTTTTGAGCATCTGTTAGCTACATTAGCTCACTTCCTGAGAAATCCTTGAAAGCTTTTAAATTAAAGTGATTTTTTAACATGTGCAATGAAAAAGTAGAGCTAAACTAAAGCTTTGTGGATTTTTGACTGATGAAAATTTCTTTATAGGAGAACCCAGTTATTTATCTGCTGTATGTTTAAAGATACGTGAAACTCATCAATCTGGGAGCATAAAATACTATGGAGGGAAAATAGTTTATCCTTAGCTAATAGAGTCCTTAAAAATACAATGACAAAGTAGCACATGTGAAAACACTTTAAACTGATTACATGGTATTTCTATTTTCCTGGTTAAATGCAAATATTAATTGGGTATACAGTAAGTCCTCTGGTTAAATATATATGCACACAGTTTATAGTTGGATAAGATGTACATGATATTTGTGAAATTGATTACCACGATATTTTTCAAGTTCTCCATTGTCAGGAATATTTACTTGTAACCTAGAAGTGCATGCACATTTCCAAAGTATATATCAGCCAAACTAAATTTAGCGAATAACTAAATTTATTTACTGAAATTAAATTATTGTCAAATATGCTTTTGGTGTTAATAGGACACAATCACTTAAAAATATGTGATGTAGGAAATCTGTTGGGGTCATAAGTGTTTTCTTTAGGTATACATCCAAACATTTAAATATTGATCAATGTTATGACCTTTTAAAGGCCAAGGTAGTTACTATCTGCCTGTGCTCTTTTTAAATCTTCTTTCTTTCATATTCTACAAGACAATTGATGTATATCCACAAGAAATGCCATAGTGCACCTGATGGACCTGGGATTGCAGCATTAACTAGCGAGGAGCGAACTCGATGGGCTAAGGTTCTGATTTATGCTTTTCTTAACAAAGCTTTTCTCTAATGAACTCTTTTGATATATTGTATTTAAGTTCTAATATTTGATTATCATCTTCTTGCCCTTTAGGCACGAGAATATCTGATTGGTCTTGATCCAGAGAACTTGACTTTGTTAGAAAAAGTTCAGAGTAGTTTATTGGTATATTCCATGGAGGATAGCAGTCCACATGTAACACCAGAGGATTATTCTGAGGTACTAAACTATGTTCTGTTTTATTTCTTGCAGATTTTTCTGGAAGACTCATATTTAGTGAACATGAAAAGATTTTTTTCTTTTTCTATATTTAGCCTCTTGAAACTTAATGTTAGCTATTCAATATACTTGTACCAAATTGAAGCTTATAAAGTAGATAATAAACTGGTAAATCCTTGCCAGATTGTTTAGGTTCATTTAGATGTGTATTATATTTTGTTTAAAGAAGTATGACTGCATATCACATGTCAGTGTTTCTCAACCTTTTCATTGCTTGTGTACTCAGAAAATTTATACAGACAACTAGGTTTAATATACTTTTCTTGCCAAAGGTGATACGAGAAACTACTCATAACCCACACTAGTGTATTTTGACACTGTAGTTGGGAGTGTCTCTCCTAAGAATTATGTCACCCTCATGAGTCATTTTTTATATCATTTGGTTAATTACTGAACACATTGATGTCAGTGACTTTAAGGGTAAACATGGCCTCGTTTTATGCTTCCTCCCCACCAAGTGACATTAGTTTCCCAGGAAATAATAAAAAGTAGTAATTGTATTAGAAATCTCATAGTCTTTTGAAAATACTGAAATTATTTTATAATGCATTAATTGGTATTAAATAGGAAAAAATTATCTAGGATTGTAAAACCTTGTAGCAAGGAAAGTGTTTTTTTTTTTTTAGAGAATCACCAAACTTCTTTTTAATGAAGACTATATTTTAATGCAGAATATATTTTAATGCAGTGTTGTTCAGACTTTTTTGACTACAATTTGTAGTTACAAATATTTTAGATTGCAGCTTGCATGTGTATATGCATGCAAACACATATATAAAATAGGAGTTTCAAAGAACACTATAATTACTTTTATTATCTGTGAGGTATACTCATATTTCCAGTCTATTTTATTCTCCTTTCTTATAAGGACTATTGATTATGATGCACTGAATTGATTTCATGATCACTAATGAGCCAAAGTCTATACAGTTCGAAAAACAGGTTTAGTAGGAAATGAATTCTTAAAATATTTCATCCTAACTAGTCTTTTTTTTTTTTTTTTTTTTTGAGACGGAATTTCGCTGTTGTTACCCAGGCTGGAGTGCAATGGCATGATCTCGGCTCACCGCAACCTCCGCCTCCTGGGTTCAGGCAATTCTCCTGCCTCAGCTTCCTGAGTAGCTGGGATGACAGGCACGCGCCACCATGCCCAGCTAATTTTTTGTATTTTTAGTAGAGACGGGGTTTCACCATGTTGACAAGGGTGGTCTCGATCTCTTGACCTCATGATCCACCCGCCTTGGCCTCCCAAAGTGCTGGGATTACAGGTTTGAGCCACCACGCCCGGCCTCTAACTAGACTTTAATGACTAAACTTTTATCAAGATCTTTGGTACTGTGTAAGTTACAAAAGCCTTTTCTTCTCAATTCTATGTTCTGTAAACATTCATGAATATTATAACAGCATTTTCTTTTCTGGTAGGATTTTTCTTGAGATTTTGAGAAACAGCTAAAGTCAGGGCCAGAAATATTCTCTCTTGAGTATAACTATATTATCATTTTATTAAATTTGGTTGACCTGAAGAAGAATGGTGAGAACATACATGTGTTTAAGATATAAATTCTTACAAACCAATATTAAATCCTTTTAATTTGGAAAAACTAAATTTATTTTAGATTACTGCAGCCATCCTTATTGGAGATCCAACAATACGCTGGGGTGACAAATCCTATAACTTGATTTCCTTTTCTAATGGAGTATTTGGCTGTAATTGTGATGTAAGTAAACTACTGAAATTTTTTTTCTCTTTTGATCTTTTAGGTTAAATTAATGGCAATAAACCATAAATACTTGTGCTTTAGAACAGTATAAGTGAACACTAGTTCAGTTTTATGGCACTTAAGTGAAAAGTTTAGTTATGAATTTTCAGTGAAAGTAGAGTATAGGACAAGTTATTTTCTTCTGTCATAAGGCCAACCATTGTGTACTGTATCTGCAAAATGGAATTTGCATATAATATTTATATAGTATAAGCTCTTAAAACCTAGTAGTACCTGCTTGCTGAGAATACCTATTTCAAAAGGTATTATATGGCATTATGTATTAGGTTCTGTGCTCTGTGCATAGAACAATACACCCTAACACTACAGCTCTGTAGCCTGTATCATGGCCCAGTGGAGCCTATAAACACAATTTATTGTTACCAACCAGGCAACAACTACATCAGGAAAAGCTCTTGAGGGAGGTCAGTATAAGATGCCCAAGTAGTTCTTCTGCCAGCAACAGCACACATAACAAGACTCTCACAAATATGGGGTATTTCACAATTTCACATATCACCTGAAAGAGGATTGCCCATATCTTGAGACTTCCCTTCTTTCCTTCCCAAACTCACAGTGTCACATTCAGATGATGAATGATATCTGTGTTTAATATAAAGTGGTAACAGTCACAAGGAACTATCTGATGTAACTCTAATCTAAGGAATATGGGCAAAAACTTTGTCCTTCAAAGTAAATGATGGAAAAATTCACAAACTGCAATTTCTTTCTCTAAATATAGTTGGCAAACCTGAAACATACTTGTAACACCTAGCCTATCTTCCCACATTTCTTAAACTGAGAATTATTTCTGTCACATCTGGATGCTCATATAGATAAAGCACACAAAATTGATACGCTTTCTAATATTAACCTAAGTGGCCTATGTCCTTACCTAAGTTCATGCTCATCCCAAATGCTTTCAGATAGGCTGCCATACCCATCTGCTTTTCCATCCTCTGCTTACAATTCCAGAACATCTTCGTATTACATGACTTCTAGTAAAAATAGCAATTTCTCTAGATTGTTCACTTATCACTTTATACACCCTCATGACCCTAAGCTCCACCAGGAGCCCTACTAGGGGCTTGCAAATTTAAACATTTTTTTTTCCAAAAAAAAAAAAAATACAGCAGTTACTAAACTGTAGGGAATCCCCTGTCTTATCAGGAGGTGAGGCATTTGATGACTCCATTTAATCTGTTAAGAATGGAGACAAAGCGAAAATAAAATATTGGGTCAAGTTTTAAGTTGATATAAAGGATTCAGAAATCTTGTGTATTCTCATTTTAGCATGCTCCTTTTGATGCAATGGTTATGGTGAACGTCAGTTATTATGTGGATGAGAAAATTCTTCAGAATGAAGGAAGATGGAAGGTATGTTCGAATAAATATTTCAACCTTTTTTCTCCTAATAATTTTATAGATAAAATATTTTTAAGTCTTTCCTATTTTCAGGGTTCAGAGAAGGTACGAGATATACCACTTCCAGAAGAGCTCGTTTTCACTGTGGATGAGAAAGTATTAAATGACATCAACCAAGCTAAAGCCCAGTATCTCAGGGAGGTATATTTTTTCACTTTTCTCTTAAATAATAATAATGCTTTCTTCTTTTAACAACCATATATATAAGAATTTAACTGTTATCCATGCATGTCTGCATAAAACATTTTAAAATTAAGCCTTTAACACCTTTAATTCTTTATGTCTGATGATTACTTTAATGCAGATGATAATTTGGTTCTCCTCAGTATATTCTCCTTAGATGATTTTTCACCATTCTCATTTAATTCTTCTTGTTAGGCATCTGATCTACAGATTGCAGCTTATGCCTTTACATCTTTTGGCAAAAAGCTAACCAAGAAGAAGATGCTTCACCCAGATACATTTATTCAGCTTGCACTTCAGCTGGCCTATTACAGACTTCATGGACAGTAAGGACCTTTTATTTTCTATTTTCTTTTTTTAGAAGGAAAGAAAAAAAAAATAAGTAAAGGAGAGGGAGAAAGAGGAAGAGAAAGAGGGAGAGTAAACAGAAATATTGCTTTATTCTGAAAAAAATTGGATATTAATAATGGCCAATCAATGTTTCATTTAAACTTATGAGTAGGTGTGATGTGGTATTGACAAGAATGCATATTTTGTGTATTTGAAGTGGGGAGCTCTATAAATATTTATTAAGTTTACTTGTTCCGGATCTGAGTTCGAGTCTTTGATATCCTTATTAATTTTCTGTCTCATTGAGTCTAAGTCTTTATGTATCTGGGTGTTAGGATCGTTAGCGCTTGTTGTTGCATTGATCCTTTTATCACTGTATCGTTGTTGCTTTAAAATCTATTTTATCCGATACGAGATTTGCAGCTGCTGCTTTTTATTTATTTATTATTTATTTTTGCTCTCCATTTGGTTGGTAAATCTTTCTCCATCCCTTTGTTTTGAGTCTTTGTGTACCCTTGCATGTGAAACAGGTCTGGATGTAACATGCCATTGGGTTTTGGCTGTATCTTTTGATTGGGGGATTTATTCAATTTAAATTTAGGGTTATTGCCATTTGATGTTAACTGGCTGTTTTATCCATTCGTTGGTGTAAATTCTTCTTTATGTTGGTGCTCTTTACTTTTTGGTATATTTTTAGAAAGGCTAATACTGGTTGTTTCTTTCTGTGTGTAATGCTTCTTTCAGAAGCTCTTGTAAAGCAGGCCTGGTGGTAATAAAATCTCTGAGTTCTTGCTTGTTCATAAAAGATTTTATTTTTCCTTCAGTTGTGAAGTTTAGTTTGGCTGGATATGAAATTCTGGGCTGAAGGTTCTGTTCTTTGAGGATGTTGAATATTGGCCCCCCACTCTCTTCTGGCCTGTAGAGTTTCTGCTGAGAGATCTGCTGTAAGTCTGATAGGCTTGCCTTTGTGGGTAACCTGACCTTTCTCTCTGGCTGTCCTTAGTATTTTCTCCTTCGTTTCAACCCTGGTGAATCTAACGATTATGTGCCTTGGGGTTGCTCTTCTTGAGGAATATCTTTGTGGTGTTCTCTGTATTACCTGGGGTTGAATATTGACCTGCTTTGCTAGTTTAGGAAAATTTTCCTGAATAATATCCTGAAGGTTATTTTCCAGCTTGGATTCATTCTCTCCATCACATTCAGGTACACCTATCAAATGTAAATTTGGTCTTTTCACATAGTCCCACATTTCTTGGAGACTTTGCTCATTCCTTTTTATCCTTTTTTCTCTAATCTTTTCTTCACGTTTTATTTCATTAAGTTGGACTTTGACCTCTGATATCCCTTCTTCTGCTTGAACAATTCGAGTGTTTAAACGTGTGCATACTCTCGGAGTTCCTGTATTGTATTCTTCAGTTCCATTAATTCACTCATACTCCTCTCTAAGTTGACTATTCTTAATAGGATTTCATCAAACCTTTTTTCAAAGTTCCTAGTTTCTTTACGTTGGGTTACAACATGTTCTTTTAACTCACTGAAGTTTTTTATTATCCATTCCTTGAAGAGTACTTCTGTCATTGGGATGCGCTCGTTCTCCATCAAGCCTTGTTCCATTGTTGACGTAGAACTGTGATCATCTTTAGAGGGAGAGGCGTTCTGACTTTGAGTATTCTCGGCTTTTTTACTCTGGTTTCTTCCCGTCATTGTAAATCTATCCTCCTGTCGTCTTTGAAATTACCAACTTTCAGATTAGGTCTCTTGAGTGGGCGTCCAGGTTGTTAGTTCCCAGGGCCAGAGCAGTGGCATTAAAACTGATGGTGCTTTTCTTCCCAGGATTCTCCTGTCGGGCTTCCTCTTGTGTCGTAGTAGGCAACTCTGCCTTCCTGGGGCTCCAAACCTAGGTCAGAAGGGGAACCGGTCTCGTTTACTCTGCGCGGAGCGCTGCCACGCCGGTGCCCTCACAGCCGCTGCGCCGGGCTCTGGTGTCGTGCTGGGGGCCCGTGCAGGTCCTCCAAACCTGTTTACTTTGCTCCGAGAGCCGAGGTGCCAGCAGAACCGCTGCACCGGAGTCGCGCTGGCTACCGTGTGTTTCCTCCACTGGGGGATCTTCTGCTCCGTGAGCGACCAGAATTTGTCTGAAAGTGTGGCGTCCTCTAGTTCTCCGCGCCTTCCCTGGGCTGCAATCCAGGGATGTTAGTGATCGGCCAACTTGGATCGTCTCCCTATTTTCTATTTTCACAGTCCAAGTGTATATCTTTTTCATAGCTATTTCATCCTAACTCTTCAGTGTTTATGCTCACTTTTTTTCCAGCTGGTACTGTGTCCTATTTGTACTTTCATCATCAGAATATTTAGATTTCCGATTGTGGTGGTTTCAGGGTGTTTCCTTGATACTTTATCACAGTATCTACTTGATAACTTTTGAAGTGTCTATTCTCACCTGAAAGAGGATTGGTCATTCTTTAGCATTCAGATCGCTTAGTTTTCTTGCAACGTCAATTTTCTGATGGGTTCATGAAAAGTTGTGATTTTATAAATTATCCAGCCTTTACTCATTTTTAGAATAGGAGTGACATTAATGTTGTGACAATATATCCTAAGAAGAAGTGGAAGTCCCTCAATCTTGCTTTTTTATTGATAAATACGTTATAATTGAACATATTTATTAGGTACATGTGACTTTTTAAATACATGCGTAAAATGTGTAATGGCCAGATCAGGGTAATTGAGATATTCACAATGAGACATCACCTCACCCCAGTTAAAAATGACTTTTATTGAGACAGGCAATAACAGAAGCTGGCAAGGATGTGGAGAAAAGGGAACCCTCATACACTGTTGGTGGGAATGAATTAGTACAGCCACTATGGCAAACAGTTTAGAAGTATCTCACTAAACTAAAAAAATAGAACTACTCTACAATCTGATGATCCCACTGCTAGATATATATCCAAGATCCACCTGTCTTGGCCTTCCAAGGTGCTGGGATTACAGGCATGAGCCACTGTGCCTGGCCCACATTTTCTTTATCCATATATTTATTGATGGACACTTAGGTTGATTTCATATCATGACTATTGTGAATGGTGCTGCAGTAAACATTGGAGTGCAGATAACTCTTTGATATGTTGATTTCCTTTCTCTTGGATATATACCTAACAGAGGTAGGTATATATCCAGATTGTACCACTCCACTCCAGCCTGGGTAACAGCAAGACTCTAACAACAGCAACAACGAAAAGATCATTTGTCCATTTTAAATCAGATAAATTTGTGTGTTGCTATTTTTTAAGTTCCTTATATATTCTGATTATTAATTTCTTGTGAGATAGTTGGTTTGCAGATATTTTCTCCCATTCTCTGGGTTGTGTCTTCACTTTGCTGATTGTTTTCTCTGCAATGCAGAAGCTTTTTAACTTAATGTGATTCCATTTTCTATTTCTGCATTGGCTTCCATGCTTATGGGGTGTTTCTCAAGAAATATTTGCAAAGTACAGTGTCCTGGAGAGTTTCCCCAATGTTTTCTTTTAGTAGTTTTATAGGTTCAGGCCTTATATTTAAGTCTTTAATCCATTTTGATTTGAATTTTGTACGTGGTAAGAGGTGGTGGTCTAGTTTTATTTTTCTACATATGGATATGCATTTTTCTGTATATGGATACACATTTTTCCCAGGACCATTTATTGAAGAGCCTGTCCTCTCCCTAATTTGCCTTTGTTGAAAAGGAATTGCCTGTAAACACATGGATTTATTTATGGATTCTCTATTCTGTTCCATTGGCCTGTATGTCTGTTTTTATGCCAGTACCATGCTGTTTTGGTTACTGTAGCTTTGTGGTATATTTTGAAGTTAGGTAATGTGATGCCTGATGCTTTTTTTTTTCTGCTTAAGATTGTTTGGCTATTCTGGGTCTTTTGTGGTTCCATATGAATTTCTGTATTTTTTTTCTATTTTTGTGAACAATATCATTGGTATTTTGATAGGAATTGCATTGAATCTGTAGATTGCTTTGGGCAGGATGGACATTTTAACAATATGAATTCTTCTAATGAACGTGAGCTGTCTTTCCATTTTTTGGTGTCTTCTCTCATTCATTAGTGTTTTATCAAATGTTTTCCTTGTATAGATATTTTTACTTTTTTGGTTCAGTTGATTCCTAGCTATTTTATATGTTTCGTAGCTATTGTAAATGGGATTGCTTTCTTGATTTTTTTTTTCAGATTGTTTACTTTTGGCATATAGAAATGCAGCTGATTTGAATATGTCAATTTTATATCGTACAATTGTACTGAATTTGTTTACCAGTCTAATGGCTGTTCATTGGAGTCTTTAGGTTTAAGTATAAGATCATGTCATCTGCAAACAGGATAATTTGACTTTTTCCTTTGCAATTTGAATGCTCTTTATTTCATTCTCTTGCCTAATTGCTTTGGCTAGGACTTCCAATACTGTGTTGCATAAAACTGTTGAAAGTAGGCATCTTTGTCATATTCTAAATCTTAGAGGAAAGGCTTGCAATTTTTCCATGTTCAGTATGATGTTAGCTCTAGATTTGTCATACGTGGCTTTTATTGATTTCATGTATATTTCTTCTTTACTGAGTTTGTTGAAAAGTTTTATTTATCATGAAGGGATTTCAGTTTAATCAAATGCGTTTTCAGCATCTATTGAAATGATTACATGAGTTTTGTTTTTATTCTGTTGATGTAATGTATCATATGTTGAATCATCTGAATTCCATTTAATCATGATGAATGATTTTTTTTTTTTTTGAGACAGTTTCACTCAGGCTGGAGTACAGTGGCACAATCTTGGCTCACTATAACCTCCGACTCTCTGGTTCAAGCAACTCCCTGGTTCTCCTCCCTCAGCATCTAGAGTAGCTGGGATTAAAGGCATGTGCCACCACTCCTAGCTACTTTTTTTAAATTTTCAGTAGAGACGGGGTTTCTTCACGTTGGCCAGGTTGGTCTTGAACTCCTGACCTTGGGTGATT